CAGTCTGGGGGGGGCTCTGGGGCTGGGAGCACAGGGGCCCAGCTCCTGGCCAGCTCCTCACCCCCACGTCCTTCTCCACAGGGCTGAATTACCCAACATTTCCCAACCCCCAACCTGTTCCACCTCACACGCTAAGTCCTCCAGCTTGACCTCAACCCCACCCCGAGCGAGGAGCAAGAACAGGGGAAGCTGCTGGAGGGTTCTGAAGGGAAACCTCAGGGGCTGGGAGTGGTTGGCAGCAGGCTCTGAGCCTCCCTCACCGTAGTGACACGGCAGATCTGCCCGTGGAACTCGGGGCAGTAGCAGGCTCCACTGAGAGGACACTTCTCCACGGGTTTGCCACGGTAGATGGGCCGGTAGGAAGCAGCACAGATGTCAAAGGGGTTGTGCATGTCATAGTTGAGCTGGTAGGTGTCCGTGGGGTTCTTCTCACACGCCGACAAGATCTTGCGAGTCTACAAAAAAAGACCCAGAGGGAGAGGTAGGAAGAGATCCCAGAGGATCCACCCCAGCAGATGCTCCTCAAGGACCTACCTGCTGGGCCACCTCGGGCTTTGGACCCAGTTCCAGCAGGCGACGGGCAAAAGTGGCAGCAGTCTTGAAGTTTTTGAGTTTGAAGAAGAGGTTGAGAGCAGTCCTCAGCACCAGGATCATGTGGACGGGCTGCAGGTTGGAGTGGGTGAAGTAGGCAGCCATCTGTGGGGAGTGGGGACACCATCACCACCAAGCACAGGGACCACAAAGCCCCCGAGGCACCCCCTGCCAGGCCCACCCTGAAGGAGGGAGGGGCAGAATTCAGGCTCCACGAGGCCTCTTTAAACCCAAAGGTCCCTTCCCCTTCCCCACCCCCTGTGGAGAGGCAGTTGCAGCACCTCACAGATCCTCTTCTGCTGCTCCAGGGTCTCCTTGGGCAGCTTCTTCCTCTCAATCTCCATGGAGAGCCCCACGATGTACTCCCGGCAGATGGCAATCAGCTGCTGGGCCTTGTGGGGAGGGAAACTGAGTCAGAGGGGTCAGGGTCAGCCCTTCAGCCTCCCACCCCCCAGCCCCCAGGCAGCACCACACAACCCTTCACTTGGAAGAGACCTCAGAGCTCCTGGAGTCCAACCAGCCCCCAGCACTGCCAGGTCCCCACTGCCCCGTGTCCCTCACCCCACATCTCCACAGCTTGGGAACCCCTCCAGGGGTGGGGACTCCACCACTGCCCTGGGCAGCCTGGCACAGCCCTGGGCAACCCTCCAGGGCAAGGAATTGTTCCTCAGGGGCAACTGAAACCTCCCCTGGGGAAACTTGAGGCCGGCTCCTCTCACTCCATCACTTGGGGCCAGAGATCTCACCCCCCCCTGGCTCCAGGCTCCTGTCAGGAGCTGTGCAGAGCCAGAAGGTCTCCCCTGAGCCTCCTTTGCTCCAGGCTCAGCACCCCCAGCTCCCTCAGCTGCTCCTCCCCACACTTGGCCTCTAGACCCTTCCCCAGCAGCTCCGTTGCCCTTCTCTGCCCACGCTCCAGCCCCTCAAGCTCCTTCTGGGAGGGAGAGGCCCCAAACTGCCCCCAGGATTTTGAGGGGCAGCCTCCCCAGGGGAGTCTCTCACCTCAGCAATCTCCTGCTTGTTGTCCACCACCAGCAAGGGCACGCTGAGCAGGATGGAGCGGAACTTCTCCACGGCCTCCTCAAACTTGCCAGCAGTGGTGAGCTGGTAGCAGAGCTGGAGCCGCTGGATCAGGTCGTTGAGTTTCAGCCCAACAGCAGGGAGGGCATTTTTCAAGCCAGCTTCTTTCCTGGGGGCACCAAAGAGGGGTCAGGGGGACAAATGAGCCCAGTGCAGAGGTCAGCATGAACACAGATCATCAGCTCAACCACAGCTTGTCAGAAATGCTTTGACCAAGGGTCAGGTTGGGTTTCTTAGCACAGAAGACAGCTCTGCTTGCAGAATTCCCCCACCCCAACATCCAGCTCTCTCTGCATCAGCACAGGCTGAGGTGTCTGCCTCATTTTTGTCCAGTGGCTTCCAGGCACCACTGTGAAGACACAGGTTTGGGTCTCCTGATGCCTCAGAGCAGCACTGTCAGAGGCAGAGTGTTACTGCTAGAAACCAGAGTGCCCCAAGCACCTCCCCAGGGTTCAGTCTCTGCAACAAATCATCGCTTTCACCCCTAACAAGAGGCAGCAGAAACACCCCACTGGAGATGGAAGGTTCCCTATTTCTACCCAGCAACCAGGAAGGTTCCTCCTTTCACAAGAGAAGAGAGATTTCTAGCTCTGCAGAGGCCTGGCAGGGAGGAGAGGAGCCCAGGGGAGGAGCCAGGAGCTCACCAGTTGCGGTGGGGGTGCCCATACATGGCTGGCAGGCAGGGCAGGGCCTGGTAGGTGGTCCGGCCACGGGCATAGGTCTGCAGGAACAGCTGCTTGTAGGGCCCAAAGTTTGTTACTCCCACCTGGTCGTGGAGGAGCTGGAAAAGACACGTTGATCTGCTGAGGAAAAAGTCATCCAGAGGCCACCAGACACTGCTCAGGGTCACAGCACCTCTTATGTGGCACCCAAACAGGGCACAGAAAGCTCCAAAGGACACAAAGGAAGCTTCAGGCTGGGTCAGAGACAAATACCCAGGGACAAAGGAACAATTTCTTCCCTAGGAACTCCAGGGGAAACTCACTCTCATTGCTGTCTCAAAGGAGCCTGCCAGAACGTGGTCAACAGGGAGCTGAGAATTGTTGCACCACACCTACAAGAAGAGAAAGGCAGAGGAGAGGACCTGTGAAATGCACAGAACTGGCTCCCCAGGCTCAGCTCCCCTCAACAAAGCTCCTGTGTGGCACCCACAGGAGTGGCAACAAGAAGAGGGAACCCAAAAGAAGTGCCAAAGCAGAGTGTTTCTGAGAAATACAAAGGACTTGTGTGACTACCTGAGCTGGGCTGGTGCCCTTGGTGGGTGGCACAAAGAATCCATCCTCTGCAGCTCCAGCAGGACCAGCAGGAACGTCCTGGGGGAACACAGAGATCAGGGGGGGAGTTTCCAGCACCCAGATAAATCCAAGCTGGCCATGGGTGGGATCACCAACTCTCCAAGGAAACCCAGAACACATTCCCCCACCCCCAACTGCCATCACCCTTTCAAGTAACTCCAACAAGGTTACTTCAGAACCCTCCCAAAAGCCTCTTACCAGTTCAGGGGGAAGATCCAAATCCTCTTCGACCTCCCATCCACCTCCTTCTTCCTGCCCTTTACCAAGACCTTCCTCTCCAAAGCCCTCTCCAGCATCCACAAAGCCATCTGCAGGGAGGGGGGGAAGGGTCAGAGCTCTCACAGAGGGACTCTCACACTTCTACAGGCCAGGCTCTTGGGCTCACCCACCTTCATCCAGCTGTAACTCTGCATCCTCCCCCCAGCCCTCAGTGCCGACGGTGTCGATGTCGATGTCGGCAGCCAGGGCTCCTCCTTTGCCTGCAGAAAGGGAAGGATCCTTCAGTTCCTCACCTCTGAGCAGGTCAGGGGTTAAATTAGAGCTCTCTCAGGTGAGCACCCTCCCCTCAAGTCCCATCTTGTGCTAAAAAGGCTGAAGATTTGAGAGATCTGCCCAAGCTGGTGTCAACCGTAGAATGGTTCGGGTTGGAAGAGACAAGATCATGAATCCAACACCCCCCAGCTCTGCCAGGTCCCCACTGACCCCTGCCCCTCACCCCACATCTCCACAGCTTGGGAACCCCTCCAGGGGTGGGGACTCCACCACTACCCTGGGCAACCCTCCAGGGCAAGAAATTGCTCCTCAGGGGCAACTGAAACCTCCCCTGGGGCAACTTGTGCCCATTTCCTCTTGTCCCATCACTTGTTCCTTGGGAGAAGAGCCCAAGCCCCAGCTCCCTCCAATGCCAAGCTGGATTCCACACTCTGTCAGTCACACACAACTCCAAGGTTAGGAGCCATGGAGACACAAACATCTCCATCCTGCACAGCCCAGCTCCATGCAGCTTTCCCAGCTCCAAGTGATACCTTTGCTAGCAATTGTTCCTTCAAAGAACCCCTTGGAGACAGTCAGCAATGGCCAGTTGGTGTCCAGAGGCATGACAGGAGCAGGAGGCTGCAGCAGCTTGGCATTGTGGTCAATGTCTGGAATCTGAGTGGAGAGGAGCAGAGAAGTTAAAGCCCATGTGAGGAAAATCCCCTTCTTTGACCTTCCCACCTCCCAGTGGCACAGACAGATGGAACATCATGAGAAGTTTCTTTGGGGTGAGGGTGGCCCAGCCTGGAGCAGCTGCCCAGAGAGGCTGTGGAGTCTCCTGCTCTGGAGAGATCCCAAACTGGGCTGGATGGGATCCTGGGCACCCTGATGGAACAGGGGGGGTTGGACAAGATGACCCCCAGAGGTCCCTCCCAACCCCCCCATGCTATGATCCTGTGCTAAGCAGTAACTGGAATGGAGATGGTTCCTTTCTCACAGAGAAGAGCTGTCCAGGCAGCCCCACCAACACCAAACCCCTCTCTGCCATCATCTCCCCAAACTCTAGAGCATGATGCAGTTCTCCAACCGTTTCCTTTTCAGGATCAAAGGTCTCCTTCAGGCTCTCAGCTTCCTCATCCAGGCCATGGGTGGCAGCAGTGAGGTAGGCCAGGGACTCTGAAAAGAGGCACAACACCCCCCAGGGTGGGTTCTTCAGGGCCTGGAGAGAGAGAAACCTTCCCACACTGTCACAAAGGAGGGAGCAGCACCACTCCAAGGTGCAGAATCACACTCTGAGGGGTGTCACTGGGTTGAGGAGTAGAACACACAGGCAATGCCTGATCATTTCAACACGTTCTACAGTCCACCCAGGTCTCCTGGATGCTATTTTCTAGCTTTTGAGTTATCTCCTCTCATCTGAGGCAGATTCTTAGGTGAAGGCTTAGGCTGATCCACCTCCAGAAATCACTCTACAGCCCAGCAAGCTCCTCAGCCCCCAGGGACATGTGTTAAATCTGATATTACTCACTCTGCCCACAGTTCTTCAGGATCCTCACTCTCTCTGCCACGTCTCCCAGGTACAAGGCATTCTGGTAGTGCCCACTCATATCCTTACGGATCTCAGCTAAGCCAGAAGGGAAGAAAAACCCACCATAATTGTGCTGTTCTGGTTCATTCCTTCTAGGAATAACACTCAGATCCTCTTAGCTCCTTCTTCTTCACCCCCACAGCCTGCCACTCACCGATCTTCATCATCTTCCGAAGCTTCTCCAGGTTGCCAGTGATGAGGTAGAGGAAGGAGAGCCTGTCGAAGTTCTTGGTGCGTTGGTAGCACATCTCCACGATCTGGTGGTTCCCCTGCAGCAAAGCCACTTCTCCCAGTTTCTCCCAGCAGTTCTTGTCATCCAGAGCTTTGGCTGCTTCCAGAGCAATCTACCAAGAGAATCGACGCGGGAGGAAAGGTTTTGGAGGAAGCTGTTTGCTCTGCAGGACACAGAGATGATCCCCAGGCTGGAACCTCTCTGCTGGGAGGCCAGCAGGAGAGTTGGGGTTGTTCAGCCTGGAGAAGGCTCCAGGGAGACCTTCTGGGGGCCTGCCAGGGCTTTAAAGAAAGCTGGGGACAGACTTTTGGGCAGAGCCTGTTGGGACAGGACAAGAGGTGATGGGTTTAAACTAAAAGAGGGAGATTTAGATTGGAGAGAAGGGAGAAATTTTGGACACTGAGGGTGGGGAGCCCCTGGCCCAGGTTGCCACAAGAGGTGGTTGCTGCCCCATCCCTGGAACCATCCCAGGTGAGGGCTCTGAGCACCCTGCTCTAGTTGGGGCTGTCCCTGCTCCCTGCAGGGGGTTGGATCAGATGAGCTTCAAAGGTCCCTTCTCACCCAACCCATCCAATGATTCTGTGGCTCCCAACACTCCCTCTCCCTGCAGCAAGGAGGTTTGCAAGCGATGCCCCAGGGCTGAGCCTTCCTCACCCCCCCTCTGCCTGCCTCCTCACCTCAATGTTGCCACACTCCAGTGCCAGGCTGAAACGGGTCTTCTCATCCTTGACAAAGTGCAGGGCCACCTCGGGGTAGCCTTTTTTCTGCAGGTAGGCAATGATGGACTGGCCCACCAGCTTTGCATTCCTCACCATGTGCAGCACCTGCAAAGAAAAGGGCCTGGGCAATGAAATCCTCAACTCCCCTTTCCTGGGAGCAGCTGTCCAGAGAGGCTGTGGAGTCTCCTGCTCTGGAGAGATCCCAAACCCTCCTGGCTGTGACCCTCGGTGCACCCGGCTGTGGGGGAGCTGCTGGAGCAGGGGGTGGAATGAGACCATCCCCAGAGGTCCCTCCCAACCCCACCACGCTGGGACTCTGGGATTTCCCCTCAAGGAAGAGCCCAAGGTTTCTCCCATCTCCTCACCTCATCATACTTCCTGTTGATCAATGCCAGCTTGAACTTGAACTCTGTGGGGTCAATGGTGAGGACCCTGGGGCGACACTCCCTGTCCAGGCAGTAGACATTGTTCCCCTTCACCCGGGTGACGTAGATGGGCAGGTCCAGGGTGCGGATGATCCCGTGGTCCCTGTGCCAACACAGCCCAGCCCTTTGACCAACCCCTCCCCCAGAGCAGGCCCAACACTCAGCAGGTTACTGTAGCCTGCATTCTAAAAGCACTCCAGGGCTGGATGGCCAGTTCCAGCCCTCCCAGTTCAGCAAATCAACCCCAGCACACGGAGTAACCAACTAAACCTGGCCAGGGTGGAGGGGAAAGGAAAGAAGTTCAGCCAGGGGGAGTGGAGGGTCCTGCTCCTGGGGAGGAAGAACCCCACAGAGCAGTACAAGTGAGGGGGGACCTGCTGGGGAGCAGC